GCAAGTAACGAGTACATTCAAGGGGATTGAATTCCGACTCGCTGGCTTTAGAGAGAAATGAATGTTCTTTTCAGAAACCTGGGAAATTAAACCTCAACACCCGTGTGCCACTCTTCAAATCAGCACCATTGTCCCTCCTCCAATCATTTCGCAAGGAGCAGTGTGAGACACGCATTTTGTCAGGAGGGAAAAACAGAAGGTAGCCTCTTGAGATGGGGAGGGACGAACAGGAAAACCACAGGAGGAGAAAGTCAGGTCGCATTGCTGGCAGAGGGACGGGCGGAGAGACGGCCAGGGGCACTTACCCTGACGACCACCACCTGCACGGTGACATGTTCAGGAAGGCGGATGGGGGCCCTGAAGTGCATGGCCAGGGAGACGAGGAGGTGGAGGATGGCCACCAGGTTCTTCCCGTGAATGGCTTCGTGCAGGGAGGGAAGATGGGAGATATCTCAGGTCAGATGCTCTAGCAAGCAGGGGCCCCATCCCAAGGGTATGTCTCAGACAGACCTAGCCAAAAGGACAAAGGGACCTTGGAGAGCCAGGGGCTGTCCAGGGGACTTATGTCTGGCTTCTCTTTTTCTTAGTGGCCCAAGGTGACTCAGGGAGCCACTTTTAAAAGCGTTGTGTTTTTGAAAGCAGTGAACTGCAGATTATACAGAGAAGGACGGGTCACGGCTATGTACCCACCACGGTAATGCATGTCATTATCTTTGGCAATGAGCAAACTTCTCCTGCTATGCAATCAGCCATCCCCATGTGGGTGGGTGACGAGGACTGGAACTGTTCTGAGGATGACACACTTAACTCCTGAATGGCCCATGTCGGCCCTGACTTTCCCCTAGGTCTTAACGAACGGGAAGTCTCAGGCCAGGTTACAGGCACATCTGTGTAGGGATTTACAGCCACTAGGCATCACCCACACACAGTCCCCAGAAATTGAAAGGGAGGACAGGTCTCCCCAAGGTCATGCTAAGAAGTCAAAGGCAGAGCCAGCCCTCTCTGCAGTTGAGAGTTCAGCTCCCCAAGCAGGACACAGAGCCCTGGACCTGCAGGGTGTGCTCTAGTGCCTGGCCACATCACACCTGCCTTGCACAGAGCTGGAGGAGGTGAGACGTGGACAGGACAGGAAACCATCCAGCTTTTACAGTCAACTCTTCCCCTTCTGCCCCATTCTGGGCTTTGAAGACTGTCACATCCCTTTCAAGTCAGCTGACGGGACAGTTCTGAACTGGCATGGGCTCCTACCTCAGTGGGCCACTAGCATAACAATTCACTCTGAGAATCTGAAGTCACTCTGGCTATTTGAAATCAAGCCCCAACAAGAGCCCCTGGGGCCATGTATGGTTGACACACGTGCTTTAATTCCAACATTGAGGGGATAGAGGCAGGAAGACCAGGGGCTCAAGGATAGCCTTGGCTACATATTGAATCTGAGGTCAGCCTGGGTTACATGAGACTCCCTAAAACAAAACAGGCCTGGGGAGATAATTCAGTCCATACAGTGCTTCCCACACAAGCTTGAGGACCCAAGTTCCATCCCCAGAACCCATGTAAAAAACCCAGATATGGTGGGATGTGTGGTAATCCTAGCACAGGGAGGCAGAGGCAAGAAGGTTCCTGGGGCTCTGTGGTGAGCCAGCCTGGCCTAAAAGGTGAGCCCCAGTGAGAGACCCTGTCTCAAAAAACAAGGTGATAACCTCTGGCCTCCACGCACACATGCACACTCTCACAAACAAGAACCCCTTGAGCTGCACTTCTGAAGCACAGGAGAGAAGAGCACCAGCATGTGACTCCGTGCGGAGCTGTGTGCTCCCCACGCCAGCCACCCCAGAGTCCTCCTCCGCCACCTCTCCTCTGGAGGAACGGTCAAGAAAGTACAAGCGTTTGTAACTGCACTGCCACATGGGATGATGAACTTCTGCAAACACTCCTCCCCATCCCGGAGGTCACTCACAGTCCACATTCCAGCTCAGCGGCCAGCCATGGGGCCGCAGCAGGTCCCTCACGGCTTCCAGAACTGTCTGCAGCTTCTGTTTCTGTCCAATCTCAGACTGTGTCACCTCAGCCACGTTCAGCTTGCACCCCGCCAGTTTTTCTGTAAGGACAGGGATGAGAGCAGGGGGCAGTGTTAAGAGGAACAGGAGGGACTGCAGCCACCTGGTCCCCTGGCTGGATTGGAACCCTAGGGGTACAGCAAATTCATGCAAACAAACCACAGGGCAAGTGGTGTCATGTTCAGCCCAGAAACTCTGAACTTTGTGGCCATTTTTACTGTCAGAAAGTTACTCTACAGGGAGAGCGGGGTGGGAGCAGTTAAGGATGGAGGAGCACTTGGGAACAGACTATGCACATGAAATGGAAAAGAATGCTTCAAGATGCTGCTGGGGCCAAGTGGGGTGGCAGTCACCTGTCAGCCTAGCACTTGAGAGGCAAGAGACTGGAGGCAGATGGAGAGTTTCAGGCCAGCTTGGTCTACATAGCGAGATCTTTCTCTCTCAAAAAAGCGGGGAGGGGTAGCTCAGCACTCAAGAGCACTGGCTGCTCCTGTAGAGGACCCAGGTTCAGATCCCAGTACCCACATGGCAGTTAACAACCATCTGTAACTGTAGTTCCAGGGGATCTGATGCCCTCTTTTGGCCTCTGTGGGTAATGCATGACACATGTGCACTTACATACACGGTAGGCAAAACACTCATGCACATTAAAAAAAAAAAATTGGTGGAATGACTGAGGGTAAAAGTGTCTGCTACGCAAACTGGATGGATTGGAATAGACTCCTGGAACCCACGGTGGAAGGACAGTGACCAGAAAAGTTGTCCTTTGACCCGAACAGTGTACTGTGGTATGTGCCCCCCTCCAATAATAATAAAATTTTTTTAAAAAGTTGCAGTTGAGGGGCTAGGAGAGGAAGCTACCTGGAAGTTAACTGGGGGAGGAAGTGGGGAGGAGAGGTGTCCCGATAGAGTTAGGGTTAGGGTGAGCATGATAAAAAGGGTTCAAGGCTGCCTTCCGCCTCTGCACTCCCAGACTCCCCTTCTCTCTCTAACATTTTCACACCACAAAAAGAAGTTTGATTAGATATCTGCCGAGCTTGTGACTGCTTATTTCCCAGAGCAATCGGGAAGCACTCCAGAGGAGTTCGGCAAGAATTGTCACATTTGCTCAGGATTCAATTACTGAGCCGGGAGACCCAGCTGCCTTCAATTTCCTTTGGGAATGAGTAAGGCAGCAGGTGAGGTCAGGTGGCCTCGGACGCAGCAGCCAGGGCTCCAGGGCACCGGCTAAAGGCAGTGCAGCCCTGTTTCCTCCTAGTCTTTAATTTCAAGACGACGTCTTTCCTGACAGGTCTCCTCTGCCAACCAGCAAAGGCCCAGGGCAACTCGGGGTGACTTCCTGGGAATGCAATTACCACATCCTTGGCTTGAGCCAGACACACTGCAGCCCCAGATGCAGGGCCACCTTCGATAATGAAGACTGTGAACCCGACTGAGGTCCTACAAGGTTCTTCAGCTGGACCCGTAACTTCAGCAGTCTTGAACCTGTGCATTCTCACCCACCCGCCCGTAGTTAGAACAAGCAAATCTTCTGCAGTCCCCCAGAAGTTTAGACCAAAAATAGGATGGTCTGCCATGCACAGCACAGTCCTTCAATCACCTGTTGACCCATGAAGCAGCTACTAGCCACAGGTGCTGTCCTGGGTGCCCTAGAGAGGCCCCGAGTATGGGAATAGAGAAGGCACTTGACAGCCAAGAAGGGAAAGAGACAATGTGACGTCAGGTTGGGCAGAGTGAGCGTGATGGAAAACAAACTGGCCAGCCCACGCTGCCTACACGAAGAAAGCCTGCCTCTGTAGACTCCTGCCACCTGTCACCTATGTCAGAGGTCCCAGCAGGGACACCCACTGCTATACGCATGAACGACCTGAAAATACGTGCCAAGCAGGGCTCATAAGTACGCAGCAATAAAGGACAGGGCAGAGCGGGGCCACTGGGGAGGAAGGAGGAAGAGAGGGAGAGAGAGACCTCAGCACATCCCTTGTCCCCTGCGACCAGCCATGTCACCTGGAGGAGGGTCCAGAACAGGGAAGGAAAGTGCATGGGTCAGCACGGGCTGTGTAACAAAGGGCCCACAAAGTCTCATCCTCCAGGCCCTGGGATCAGAAGTCTTTGATAAGGTGTTGGTGCCTCCTGAGGCCTGTCACACACCATCCTCATTGCCTACTGTCATCCACTCCAAACACCTCTTCAGGCTGGGGAGATGGCTAAGTGGATAATGTGCTTGCTATGTAAGCCTGAGGCCCTGAATTCAAGCCCTAGAACCCGTGTAAAAAGCCAGATGCAGTAGTGTGCACATCTGTCACCCCAGCACTCCCGTGGGGACAGAATGGGAGGCAGAGACCAGAGAATTCCCTAGAAACTCGTGGGCCAGCTGGCCTGGCGTTCACAGCAGCAGACAAGAGACCCTGCCTCAAACAGGTGTAAGGCAAGGGACAACACCATGGCATGTACATGCCCACATTCACACACATGCACGCTTCCCAGAGCCCTCCACCTCCACTCCTCCCACATGGGACACTCCTCGGGCTCCCCTCCCGTGCTGACCTGGCAGACTCCTCTGGGGTCCCCTCAGGCTCACCGCTTGGCTCTGGCTCAGCACCACTCTTCAGCTGGTTTCACTCCCAACCCCCACATCCAGGTCTCTCCTAGAATCCCCGGGCCCAGGGATGGACCACTGGAGTTACCATTACATCTTTTTTTAAAAAATATTTTATTTATTATTTTTATTTTATGTGTATGAGTGTATTGCCTACATGTATGTGAGTGCACCTGTGTCCTGCAATGCCGCGGAGGTCAGAAGAGGGCTTCAGATTCCCCTGGAACTGGAGTTAAGGGCGGTTCGTAGCCGCCATGTGGGTCCTGGGAATCGAACCTGGGTCCTCGGCAAGAGCAGTCAGTGCTCTGAACTGCTGAGCCATCTCTCCAGCCCCCACCATTACATCTTAAACCAGGCAGAGGTGTTCTTAACGTCCCCCTTCCTCCCAATCTGAACACTCGTTCATTGTTCTTTTCCCTTCCAAAGTGATATGTAGATCACTTGACCCCCAAGAGCTTTCGAGTTGCTGAAGTACGAACTGGAGATATTCAAAGGAGGGAACAGCCACTCCACAGTACAAAGCCTGAGGGGACCAGGTGGGCCTTAAGCCTCCTTCCGGAGTAGAGGACGGAGGGGCAGGCCTCACCGCCAGGGCAGCTTCAGGTTGGCTCTGTGGTTGCCGGGACAACAGAAGAGGGAACCAACAGGATGTGCCCAGAGAGGTCAACGATGCCTGCTCTCAAAAATGGTCCTGGGGAGGCACCGGCATTGTTGACAGCCAACCACACCCGAACTTCGACCCCAAGATCCAGCACCAACCTGTGAGACTGCTTCCCTAGAAAAGCAGGATGTGGCTGGAGAGATGGCTCAGTGGTTCAGAGCACTGGCTACTCAGCCACGAGGAACAGAGTTCGGATCCCAGCACCCACATCAAGTGACCCACAAATGCCCATAACTCCATCACAAAAGAGAGGAAAGCAAAACAAAACAAAATTGAACAACCAAGGAGAGGGGAAAGGGATGGATGAGAGGCCAGGACAAAACAAGGCTGATGTGTAGGCAGTCCCGGATGAAAGCGAAAGCCATTCTGGGGACTCCTTGGGGACGACAGGTCATCCAGCCTGTTCTTGTGTTTCTGAGAGAATCTGTTATGGGAAGAACATGTCTGTGTGACTATGATCGAGGGTTTGTGCCTAAGGCACCTGATAAACAGCTATAAGACAGATGGTCACCGTACGGCTGGAGACTTGCCACCCTTGATCATGAGATTCGGGTTCTAACCAAGAGTGCCCCCCCCCCCCCCCAGCAGACACTGTAAGTGCAGGTCTTCAATCTGTGTCATTATTTTTGTTTTGTTTTGTTTGTTTTTGAGACAGGGTTTTGCTATATAGCCCAGCCTGACCTTAAACCAGGGATCCTCCTGACTCTGCTTCCCAAGTGCCAGGATGACAGGCGTTGGCGTTAAGTCACCACACCCAGCTAAGGCACCATGAATCTCACTCACAGCCATTTCCATTCCTCACCCCGACCTTGGATGTTCCATTCTAGCAAGTGTTCACTCACCTTCCCCAGGAGCTAAGCCCCCAGTGCTTAGTAAGACCACCCACCCATATGGCCTTTATTACAGACCCAACAGCATCCATCACTGTTGTCTGCTCAGACAGACTGCACACACCAGGGCGAGCCCCCAGTGCTTAGTAAGACCACCCACCCATATGGCCTTTATTACAGATCCAACAGCATCCATCACTGTTGTCTGCTCAGACAGACTGCACACACCAGGGCGCCAGGGGCCGTGTCTGCATCTTGAGTCACTGGCCTAGCACCCAGCACTCAGCAAGGCTCAGTAACACTGGATGGACAGGCTACCCACCCTCCCATCCTTCTTCCCATCAGTCCATCCTGGGAATACACTCAACCATCCTCAGCCAGAACATGGGGCAAAAAACCTAGAAGTCCAAGTCAGAACGATAATGGGTTCCCTCACAGGGGATCTCCTGGAGACCAGCCCTCTGCCGCCCCCATCCTGGGGTGAAGGTGTTCATAACTAGACATAGCAAGGACAGTCAGAGAGATGACCTGTCACCCTGATCCCTGGTATGAGCGCCCAACAGGATTGTTCTAGAAGTCACGTGTGATCTGCTGCAGCCCTACTGGGTGCTCTGTGCACTGTCCAGGAGAGAGACCACGAGGACAGAAGACAGTGAGGCCACGGCAGAGGTCTAGAGGAGCCATCAGGAGGCATGAACTGGGCTTTGCATCTGTTCCCAGGAGCTGGGTGAGGAGGATGGCGCTGCACGGTGGGACCCCAGCACTCACCTAGAAGCTTCTGCAGCACCTGGCCATCGTACAAGTCTTCCTCCAGCTGTTTCACGATGATGCGCTCCTCTGCCAACACGTCATTGATCCAGTCCAGGAGCACCTGAGATGGGTGAGATGGATGTCAGCCTCACTTTCCCACACTGCACAGTGAGGCTGGGGCCAGAGCAGGGCTGGATGGACACCAGCCGAAACACACAAGGGCTGCTGCCACAGGCCTGGTAACCTTGGAAGACAACAGGTGACTCTCAGTCCATGGCCAAGGCAGAGGTGGAGAGTCAGCCTCATGCAGGGACAGTCTCCAATGGAGCCCTGGGCAGGAAAGGCAGGCTGGGAACCTATAGGGACCATGGACAAGGGGGTGGGTGGGGTGTCTCCCAGTAGAGGGGTTCACCACTCTACCTAGGCACTGGGCTCTATGTAAGTTCTCGGAAGAGAGAGAAAAGGGGTCCATGAAGTGTTTAGTGCTCCATTCCCTCCCAGCCTGCACCACAGCCATCCTGACCGCCCGAAGTCCCAAGCCAATGCAGAAAGTCCTCAAACAATACTCTGAATTGTTCTGCTGATGGAGAATCCACCTGCTGCACCCAGTGGCGGGGGGGGGGGGGGGGGGGGTTCGGGGGGTGGATACTGGAACTGTGCAACCATCACTCCAATCCACTTTAGAACACTTCATGTCCCTGAACCAGGCCTGCCCTGCCTCCCTCTCCCAGCCCTGCCCCACATCACCTCCCATTCCTTTGCGCTTGCCCCTGCCCCTGGAGGTCATGGTATATCGCCCCTAATGCCTGGCTTCTCTCAGCATCGTGTTTGAAGCTTGTCTCCACCACGGCTTGGGCCACTTCACTCCTTATGGGCGAACACCATGCACTGTGTGGGACGACTGCACGAAAATCTTATTCATCTCCCCCATGGCTGGACATTTGAGTTGTATTGCACATCATGCTGCTATGAATACTCGTGGTGTTTCTATGGGCCGCGTGCTCCCATTTTTTGAGCCTGCCTTCCCCAGGAGCCTCAGTGGACTTTCCCACTTAGTCCCTGGGCGACACACTGTAGAAGCAGGTCACCTCTGCTACAGTGTCTCTGGGTCGGCGGGCTCCCAGGACAGTGCTCACCATTTCCAGGACACTTCAGCCCTTCACAATAAAGTGAACCCCTGCCCAGGCAGCAGCCACAACCTCCAGGCCATGGCTCTCCCATGCTAGCAAAACAAATTGAGCTATCTAATTGGTCCCCCTAACTTCTGGGAGGTTGTGAAGTGTGACCACGCTCAGTGGGATCAAAGGACAGAAATCTAAAATGTGCAGTCCCCTGTCACTCTCTGGAACACCTGTGACCTGAGAAATTGGCCACAAGGACAAGTCCTGTGAAGTCCAGTGCACCTTTCCAGTAACTACAGGAGACTAAAGGAAATGGAAGAGTCTGGGGGGCAGGCTGCAGGAGGAGGGTCATGCACGTAGCCCTGTGGCCCTGTCAAAGCATCTCTGAGGGGCAGGGGAAAACCTCCAGCACCCTCTCTGGCCCCTCTGGATGACTGGTTTCTGGTCTGACCTGGGCTCTCTGGCCACTTTGGAGGGCCATAAACCAGGAGGTGAGGCCTAGTTGGAAGAAACAGGTCATTGGGATGTATCCAGCATGTCTGCTATCCTCTGCCCAAGGGCCTCATGGTTCAGTTCTTGTCCTGGACTCAACAAAGTGTAGCAAGTGCTTGCTTGACACTAAAGGGTGAAAATTCAACTTCATAAAGAAAGAAAAAAGAATGCACACTGAGATGGCTAAGCTTGGTGAGAGTGAGTCTTAGAAACGCTCACTTGCCTTGCTGTCCACTCCAACTGCAAAAGCCACAGCCACCGTGCATGGTAAGTGTTTAGCCAAGCTGGACCAGTGGCAGTCATTGATAGGGCCAGGATCTATCCATGGGTCCAAGCATGGACTGGGGGAGGGGCACAGCATCTCCCCTGAGGAAGAGACATAGTGAGTGTTTGCATCAGATGCTGTCCTGGGCAGTGGGGATGTAGAGAAACGCAAGGTGGTACCCACCTGGGGGGCGGGCGCAGTTACATGCCATGGTATGCTTGGAAGTGCCCGGGCATGGAGGGCGCACAGTCGGTCCCATCCCCCATCTGCGACAGCTATTAGGAAAACTGGCCCCTCACAGCAAAAGCCAAGATGGTAAGAAGGTTATTGTTGTCCCTAGACCTGTTACTGTGTCTCTCTCCTAGCTCATAGCCGCCAAAACACACCAGGTACCTGCGGACCAGAGGACCTTTATTTCTACTGTTGTGCAGTTGGTCACCCTTTCCCCAGGTACTGACACACAGGTCTCCATTCAAACCCATTCTCCCTGACTACCCTACAGGACACAGCAGAAGAGGGTCTCTGCTTCAAGGCACCCCCCCGCCACCACCTAATCACATACTCACCTGCCCCTTGTTAGGTCTTTTGTCCAAGTACACTGTGTGCTTTATAGTGGGGCCTCTGTTTTACCCAGCACTGTAATCCCCAGTGGTTAAGATAGGAACAGACTCAGTCTCAAACTGAGTAACTGCCTTGGGGCATTCTAGAAAGGTCTCTTGGTCCTGCGGGCCTTTGGTTCCAGAGGTTGACCTCCCCAAACACAGTCCCAGTAGGAAATACAAGAGAAACTGTGTCAACTATGAAAACTAAAATGTAAAGAAAGGTAAAAAAAAAAAAAAAAAAAAAAAAAAAACAGGATCTTTGATATACAAACCCAAAAGCAAAGACAACAGTCCTGGAGATCAAAACCCACCTCCATGCAGTGGATCAGGCTCTCAGGTCTCAGAAGCAAAATTCAGGCCCACCCTGGTCTCACCGCCGCCCCAGGAGGTGCAGGTGACTTGCGGACACCATTCATCACCCCATCCGACATCCCAGCCATCCATCTTAATCTTCCAATTCACAAAAGAGCTTTTAAAGATAGCACAGGCCATTATTTTTGGGGACTTGCTTGTCTGCAAGCCCCAAGTCCTGCGGGCAAATACCAAGGACATATATTAATTACGCCCTTACACGGCACTCCATCACAAATGGCTCTACAAGCTTGCTTTAACCAGAATAAAAAAGTACTTTCTCTTCAGGTCCTTCTGAATTATCATCAGGCTTGCAGTCTTCTCTCCCCCAGAGCTACGACAGTTACATTTTAATCACTTCCAAACACAGTCCTGGCTGCACTGTCCCCAGGGACGGGGCACACCTTACTGCACCAGGTAGGAGTAGATGGGGCAGAGCACCGCCTTGCAGCCCAGTGCCACCACCTCCCCTGGAGGACCATGTCTTCATGGAGAATTTCTTCCCAGGCACAAAGGGGTAAAAAAAACAACTTCAAGACCAGTTCAAGTCTTGCCCAATAACTAGGCAGCAAGATGTGAAATTGCTCTCGGGGAGCTACGGACCCCCAGTGGAGTGCTTGGCTGCTTCTGGCTAGGGTGCTTAGGAAAAGTTAGGTGGGTTCCATCCCCAGCTCCAAAATGCATCCTTCCAACACCAACTCTCTGACCTCAGGGATCTTTGCATTTCATTTGCCAGTGTCATTACTGAGAACCCAGCACCCTGGGTTAAGAGCTCAGTCACTGTCCATCAGCGATGGATCCTAACCTCCAGACTCTCCCCTCTCCAGAGGTCAAGAATGCCAACCCCTGACTATGTGTGGGTCCCGCTAGGGCTGACCCCCATCCAAAGTGCCCTCATCAGCAGTGACCAGGTACGGCCAACCAGCCTGAGCCACAGTGCAGGCAGCGGCTCTTGGGCAGCTCCAAGGGTTTTGTGGCTCTGTGCCAGGCCCATCAGACACAGCATGGGGGCCTCTCTCTAGCAGGGAAGCACAGGATGCCCCTCTGAGAACAGTTATCGACATATCAGCCATAAGCCTCCATCCACCCACAGGTGTCCACCCACCATGTGAAGAAACAAGAGCAGAGGGGGAGGCCAAGGCCAGTGTTTTGGAGTCCTAAGCCCACAGAAGAGGGGGCCGTTTCTAAGGTGATGCCCAGCTGGCCAGTTCCATCACCCTACCAGCTCTGGTCCCTCTCAGGACCTTAGCGTCCAGTCAACAGTGATAACGTATGTGAGCACGTGGTGTGGTGTGGGCTGTTGTGATCCACTTTCCTCTGGGTTAGGATCAGACCTTCAGCCCTTAATGGCCAATCTGCATGACAGATGCTCAAAATAGTTTTTTAATGGCCAATCTCAATTCCATTGCCCTGCCCAGCCAGGGACGTCTGACAGGAAGAGGCAGAGGGCAGCTCAACACTGCAAAGGCGACAGTCCTGAAGCAGAGGGAGGACAGGAAGGCCACCACCACCTGACAACAGAGGGCAGTGAACAGAGAAGAGGAAGGGAGACCAGCCTCAGAAACGCAGCCCTGGTCCCAAGGTGGGGAGTGAGGGACAGACAGCTACATCGGCCATGTTCATCAGGGAAGGGTGTCAGCCAGGCCCAGCTGTCTTCTGACTTGCTCAAGCCAGTGCACCGGACAGGTTTTAAGTTAGAAACACCTGCTGCCAGGAGCCAGAGGTATAGAAGAAGGTTCTGGGTTCCATCCCCATCACTAGAAAAAGCACCAGCTTCGGGACAGGACCCCCACGAAGGAAGACTTGAAATATCTTCAGTCTGTAGCACACGGGATGTCCTAAAACAATGGGAGTCACAGAGGATTGCTGCATCCGAACCTCCAAGACAGGTCAACAGCACCAGAGTTCCCACAGTGTTCTGGAACCCTCTGCATTGGGGTGCAATCACAATCCCTTCCCCAAGACCCTGGTCCCCGGTGCTGATTTCATGTGCTTATCACCAACTGTGATCTTGGAGATAACAGCTCCCAGTGAGTCCTAGAATCCTAGTGACTTATCCACCCTAGGGTAGTGGTAAATGCAAGGCGGTACCTTGGAGACCCCTGCACTTGCCATTAAGTGTTGGGGGAACTCACCCCTCTAATCTTGCACCCAGAGGGTACCTGTTCAACATAGAGACCAATGCTACAGGGTGGTAGGAGCAGAGATGGGGGTGGGCAGGGAATGATGCCAGAGGGGCTGGACAGAGCAGGCCCAACAAGCCCATCTCTGCAGTAGCCCTGGGTCTGGGTCAAGTCAGGCACTGGCCCCTGGTCCCAGCAACAGCAAGCTGGCAGACCATCCTCAATTCACCGCACAAGCACAATGCTAAGCCTAGTGACATGCCGGGGCCTCCAGCACAGCCTTGCACACCTGACCAGCCCGACTAGGCCATGCGGAGCCTCGGTGCTTGCCATTCGCATCTGCCTGTCTCAGAGGCCAACTTTGCTGCAAAGTTTAAGGTTTTTATATGCCCCTCCACACAGCCAGGACAGCGGCCCATGAGCCCCCTAGACCCCCAGGGATGCTGCCCTGCTCCTGGTGTTTACATAATTTTTGAAAAGACCATCCTGCCTTGAGATGAGACCTACAGTCTGAGTCTCTGGGTGCACAGGCTGATGGGACAGTTGTGGAGCAGGCATCTCGCTCAGTGTCTGGCAGCCAGCCATCTTGGACCACAGCAAGGACTCTGCCGCCACTACAATCCAAGTCACCCTGTCTGGCCCACGTGGATGGCGTGAGCTATGGCAGAAAAGCCCAGCAGTGGGGGAAGGAAGGTCTGCTTCCCCAGGCTTCTCAAAGGCTTGTCCACAGCCCTGGTGGCATTCAGTGGTCCCAGTGGATCCTCTTATGTACTGGAGATAAGAAGTCCAGAACCAGCCTCACTGGGCTGTGGTCAGGGGTCAGGAGAGGGGAGCTGGCCCCTCTGGAGGCTCTAGGGGGCTCCTGCTGCCCTGCCTTGTACAGACCTTGGCACATGGCTTTCCTCCTCCAAGCCAAATATTCCATCCTCCCTCGACATCTCCATCTGCAGCGTGGTCCCCTCTGCCCAGCTACGGGGGCTAATCTTTACCATCCACTTGACACGATCACCTGGGAACACAGTCTCCATGAGGGACGGTCTGCATTGAATTAGCCTGTGGGGATGTCTGTGGGGGGTTGTCTTGATGGTGCTAACCGACGTAGGCAGCACCATTCCCTAGGAAGGGGATCCAGAACCGGATGATGGTGGAGGCATCAGGCTGAGCACCAGTGTGCACGGATTCATTTCTCTCTGCTCAGCTGTGGATGTGACCAGCTGCTTCAACCCGACCGTCTGCCTTCCCTGCCATGACTGATGACAGCCTGAAATGAGGATCTGGATAAACCTGTTCTCCCCTGCACTGCATTTGTCAGGGCATTTTATCAGAGCAGCAGAGATAAAAGCAGAAAGCTAGCTAATAACCTCAGTTGCTGTGCCCATCTCAAGAGCCCTCAGTACATCTGCAGGCTCCCGTGGCATCTGCAGGCGCTAGGAAAAAATGGCACCCTCTCAGCCACACTGCACACCTCCTACAGAGCCCCTCGACTCCCACCTAGCCTCAGAGCGCCTTTACCCTAGAGCAAGACCTTCCCACCTCTCCAGCCTCTCTCGTCTGCACACTTCCTGCCCTTCATCCACACAGAACTGAAGAGAGGTAGCTGAAACCCACAGTTCCCCTAGATGCCAGAAATGGGCTGGTGGACACTCAGCTGGCCAGTCCTCAACCACTAAGGCTCAAATAGCCTAGGGCTTTAAGAGGCAAGTGACACAGGTATGTGTGTTTGGGGGTGGGGGGGACGACAAGGGAATCAGGTTTCAACAGCAAATTAAGAATTTTTCCCCAAATTCTCCACTTTGTTGTTTATCACAGAAAATTGTCCTTGAGGATGGTAAATTATTTTGCTACTAAAATATTTCATGAGGGATGGTTAAGCCAGGGGTATCTGGGGATTCTGTGCTCTGCAGGGGGACAGAACCAATGGTTACTTGTCTTACGGCAAGGGTGGTTGTAAGGCTTGCCTCACGTGGCTACGGGGCTCAACCTTGTCCTGCACAAACTGAGTCGGAGGGCTGGTGGTGCAGTGCAAATGAACCAATAGTTACGTGTCTTACGGCAAGGGTGGTTGTAAGGCTTGCCTCACGTGGCGGGGCACAACCTTGTCCTGCACAAACTGAGTCGGAGGGCTGGTGGTGCAGTGCAAATGCCCTGGGGCAGAGGGAGGGTGCTGTACGGCCCAGGCCTAGTGTGCAGGTGTGAGAACTGGGAATGCTGGGGATGGAATGTGTATATTCCAGTTTGTGTGGTCCCACGTGGTGGTGGGGGGGGGATAAAGAGAGAGATTGAGAGATTCATTCTTCCTTATAGCAAAGCTTACACTGCCTGCCTTCCTTGGGGAGGTCACCTGCTTTTCTCCAATCTCTCCAGGAAACAACCTGACAGACATGCCCAGAAATGGTATCTCCCAGGCACCCTGGGGCCCAGTCAGGTTGGCTCTTCAAGCCGGCCACCCAGCATTTTCCCTTGGGCATCTGAGTGAAGCAAGGCCACAACTGACATTTTCAGTTTACATTCTGAAAAGGACTCAGCTCATGAGAAGCCTCACTTCCCTAGTCAGCCCTTGAGAAAATGTAGTCACGCAGGGTGGCTTGGCGCGGGGTGGCTTGGGGCTCAGTGCCTCAGCAAAGCTAGGAAGGCTGACAGCCATGTTTCAGAAGTCACATAAAGCACTTCAAAGCCCCTGGGTCACCCCAGTCGGCTCCGGGTCTGTGGGGCAGTGTACCTTCAAGAGCCCTACTGTGGTTTGGATCTGAGCAATGGAAGCTGCAAGGTGACACCTCCCACCCCACTCCCACCCCACTCCCACCCCCAGCAGCCACAGAGCCTCAGGCCTACCTGCCTCCTTCCTGTGACCTTCCAGAACAAAACAGCCTACTATCCCACCTGGCTGATAGTCACATTTCTGCCGGGGTGGGGGGAACAGGTCACACACCCCACATGGGGGCTTATAGGTCCCTGAGTGTCCTAGTGTCCTTTCTGTCCCTGTGATGAAACACTCTGACCAAAAGCAACTTAGGGGAGAAAAGGGTTGATTTGTTTTACACTTCCAGGGCACAGTCCATCACTGATGGAAGTCCGGGCAGTACTCAAGCAGGAGCTTGGAGCAGAAACCATGGAGGAAACCTGCTTGCTGGTTCTAGCAAACTTGTACTTAGCTTTCACATGCCCAGGGAATGATGCCACCCACAGGGGGCTGGGCCCTACCACATCAGTTAACAATCAAGACAATCCCCCCACAGACATGCCCACAGGCCAGTCTGATCCAGGGACTCCCTCAATTGAGATCCCTCTCAGGTGACTCCAGGCTGTGTCTAGGAGTTCTCATCTCCAAGACTCTGGTAAAGTTCCCTCCACTGGCACCAGGTGCCAAAAGCCCCACACAGCTCTTACAGGTGCCATGGGACAGCCAAGTAAAGACCCTCCCCCAGGCTGCTCTGGCACAGGGGAGCAGCGGGCGCTGCAGGTCTATGCCCTCTCCCAACCCTCAGCCCACCTGCCACCCCCATTGCCATCCCTTTCTGCTGTAGCGTCAATGCTCCCTTCAGGAGCTCAGAGGCATGGCTCCCAGCAGGAGCCCGCTGGAACCTGGGGCACCCAGAACAAGGCCTGGAGCCAGCAGGGTCATTCCAATGACATCAGACCATCTCACCTTGACTAGCTCCTTGAACTTGGGGTCGTCTCTGGAGGTGGGGTCAATCATGGTACGCTCTTCATTCTCCTCTGACAGGGACAAAGACAACCATGGTAAGCTGAGGGGGACGGCAGGAAAGCCGAGGATAGCCAACTCCCTGCTCGCTCACATGGGGCAGGAAGTGGGTGAGGAAGCAGGGACCTGTCACATTCTCTGTGGGACGGTCCAGGCAGCATGGTCAGTCACACACCAAAATGGAAATCAAATCATACAGGGCAGTGGAAGGATATGAAGCCAAACTCTATTACTCTGCCTGGCCGTCTCCTCCCAGGCTGACAGGGCATCCAAATCACCCTGGTGCAAAGACAGCAGAATGGCACTCAAGTGGCCTGGGAAGTGCCCCGTGGAGACCTAAGAGTTGAGGACGACCCGGAGCGCCAGGTTGCCTTGAGCCTCGGTTCACACAGATCCAGGGTAGTGGATGGGCCAGCACCAAAAAAAAAAAAAAACACTTGAGACATTGCATGGGAACAGATCGGTATGCAACATCAAACACAAAACAGTACGTGTAAGGAAATGTTAGAAAAAAATAGCAAAAACACAAAAAGATTACATTTCACAGCAAAACGTGCCCAGCCCATCCTCCTCTGCGGGTTTTTCCTCCATGTTCCTATGGATGGGAGGCCAACGGCAGTTCATCAAGAGAGTGGGCCATGGAGATGTGGGGCCGGGCATGAGCCAGGACGGAAAGTACTAATGTCTCACATAAGCCAGGGTGCAGTGGCCCCTCTGACTGGGGGAAGACTCCGGCTTCCTAGGCACAGACTAGCCCAGGAGCACCTGCTGGGACAGCTAGTGAGGATGCTCAGCTGCAGCAGCAGGCACAGAGGCCCCTCCAGGAGGAAACACCCTACCGACCGGAGTCCAAGGTACCAGCTCTAGACCACAGGCTGGGCTGTACCTGCTTCCTCCCAGAAGCTCTGCTGGCCTGGTCTTGTCACAAGAACTGGGGATGGACCAGGACGTCCCTCTGCACCAGGGTTTGGAAATAAGCAGAATGTGCTATGCCTGCCTTCCATGCTGGCTGGATCACAAGACACAGATCCAGGAAAGGGCAGATGGATAGCTAGCCTGTCAGCATCCTGCAAGGAGCCGGGGCCTTCACTACTCACACGTCCCACACCCCCAGCTACAGGCCCGTGGTGGCTCTTCGGAGCTGGGATAGAGGGGGGTGCATGTACATCAGGGCAGAGGTGGAGACATCTGGACATGTGCCTGGTTTTTACTTTTCACATCTTGAGATCTTGAGGCTCTCAGACTCCCACGGAAGCTGCCCTCCAGGGCTGGCCCTTTCCCAGTCTACCCCTCTAAGAGGTCTCATGGCCTCCCACACCGCAGACCAACACTCCCTCCCCTCTCCTGCCCTTATCCCCAGGCCAGCCATCGGCTAACTCAGCCCAACACCTCCAGTCCCGAGCCCCGAGTCATGCCCCGTCCTACCGGCCAGTCTTAAGCCAGTGTGCTCGGACACCCAGCCTAAATGCCCTCTCCCTCTCTGCTGCTGCCTGGCCCAGGTGCTCCCGGTGCACTCCCCGTGGGGCCTTGCATGGCTGCTCCTGGAACCGCGAGGGCTAGCCAGTTGCGTTTCCAACATCGTCCTAATCCACAGGCCTCACCACACACGGTGACAACAAAGCCTACACTTGAAGACGAGGACAGAACCTCCTCCTCCCCAGGGATCTTTCTGAACACGACCCTGACTGAGACTCAGGTTCACGAACGCCCACCCATGTGGTGTCCCGCACCAAGAATGTACAACAGGGTCACCAGGCGGCCACGGTACCTAGCTGGGTGTCTTCGGGGTGGACATCCACCAAGGCGGGGGTCATGGGCGAGTTGATGGCGCTCTTGCCTTCTTCCTGCAGGTCAGTCACTGTTGGGCAGAGAGGGAAAGAGAGACCCGTCAGCATGCAGGGACCACACAGTAGAGAGAAACAGCCACACGCATCCAGCATCTCAGACAGTCCTCCAGGGAAGACAGCCCAGAGAGGCCAAGGAACACCGCTTCGTGGCCCAGAGCACATGTAACACCCCCTCAGCACCAAGTAGCTCCTGAGTCCCACAAAGCCCTGCCAGTCTGTTCCTATTGCTCTTTGGAACATGTGACTGAGACAAGGACGCTTCCAGAAGCTCCTGGATGCTTCTGGAAACTCCTGGCTGTTTCTGGAAGGGCCTGGCTGTTTCTGGAAGCTTCTGGATGCTTCTAAAGCCGCCCAGATCTACTTGAGGCTGCTGTAGTAGGCAATGGTTTACACCCCAGCAAGGGCAGAGAAGGTGGAGCTGCCCTTCTCTCCTGTGGTGGTTTGAATGAAAATGTCCCCCATAGGTCCAAGTATTTGGACATTTTGTCCCCAGTTGGTGGTGCTGTTTTGGTGGGTCTTAGAAGGTATGACCACGCTAGAGGAAGCACATCAATGGGGGTGGGCTTAGAGAGTTCTTAAGCCTTGGCAGATCTCCAGTCATTCTCTGCTTCCTGTGCCTGTTTGAATATGTGAGAGCTTAGCTTCAGCTCCTCCTCCAGCCACCTCTGCCGCCATGCCTCCCTGCCGTGATGGACTCTTGCCCCTTGGGACTGTAAGCTAAATAAACTCTTCCTTTTATAAGTTCCCTTGGTCATGGTGTTTCTATCACAGCAACAGAAAATAAACCAATACACCTCCCCATCCTGGGCTGTAGCTCCAAGACATGAACAGGCCTCCTTAAACACATAGATGACCAGACGTGTGGTGCTGTTGATGGCCACACACATGGGGACAGAAGGCTGATTGAGCTGTAGTGAATTCTTATACTTTACATTGTCTCCATGTCTGTTTTTAAAGATGCTGCTCTCAGACCAGAAACCAGCTAAGGCTGGATACAGGCGCTGATTGAGCTGTAGTGAATTCTTATACTTTACATTGTCTCCATGTCTATTTTTAAAGATGCTGCTCTCAGACCAGAAACCAGCTAAGGCTGGATACAGGTCCCCTTTCCTCTGCCCCCTCCCCAGCCTTCTTGATCACTATTCTCTAAAAATGACCCCCAGGAACAGACCACCTCCCAAGGGAACACCCACACACCACAGCCAGGCTCCTGATTCCACACTCCTGCAGGGACCAGGCCAAGAGCTGTAGGGACCAACCCTCACCCACTGGTACTTGGATCTGCTTTGTACAGAGGCAACAGCCAGGGTCAGGACCAGGACCAGTGGGAGACACAACGGGAATCTAAGAAAACCAGCTTCCAAACAGGCCCCAGGCACCATCACTCTGTATCCCAGCTGGCCTTGGCCAGTCCTCCCACTTTGGCTGAGTCAGTGTTGGGAGTACAGGCATGTATCACCACCTACAGTTTCTGGCATTCAGTGCCAGAAGAGGCCAGAAGAGGGCAATGGACATCCTGAAACTGGAATTACAACAGGTGGTTGTTAGCAGCCATGTGGGTGCTGGGAACTGAACCTAGGTCTTCTGCAAGAGTAGCCAGTGTTCTTAACCATCTCACTGAGCCATCTTTCCAGCCCCTACTAATCATTTCTGAATCCCCCCCAAATTCTCACTGTGACTCTGTGTGAGAGAAAGCCAACAGCCGCCTTTGTGAGCCAGTGATCACAGTCAGGGTATAGGACCCTGACTCCTTGGCCCTACTTACCTAACACACACAAAGACCTCTCAAGTAGGCCTCAGGCCAGTATAAAAAAAAACACCAAATTTTGCCGGGCGTAGTGGTGCACGCCTGTAGTCCTAACACTTGGGAGGCAGAGGCAGGCGGGTCTCTGTGAGTTTAAGGCCAGCCTGGTCTACAGAGTGAGTTCCAGGACAGCTGGGGCTACAGGGAGACCCTGTCTCAAAAAGACCAAAAAAAAAAAAAAAAATCCCATCAAATTTTAACAAATATTTGAACTCTACAGCAATGTAGAGACAGAAAAGATGTTTCTCCAGGGAAACACTGCACACAACAGCCTAGTGACCCAGGTCTCCCGCATCCTGCCCTGCTGATGTCCCAGAGGCAAACACAGGTGGCCCAGGAAGTCCCTTCAGCCAAAGCCAAGCAGGAGTGAGTGTGACTGATGTCAAGGAGGAAGAAAAGGAAATGGTTATGAGGAAGGTTGCTCAAGGGCACCTGCTAGGCTGGGCGAGCCACGCAGAGCAGTTACAGCAAGGACACTTCAGGAAGACCCAGAGCGAGGGCTGGGGAAGCTCGGCCAGTGAAAAGCACTGGCTGTGCAAGCTTGGGGCCAACTTCAAACTCCAGAACCCATGTAAAAAGCTGGGCATGGTGGGATACCTAGAATCCCAGCACTGGCAGGCAGAGACAGGTGGATTCCTGGAGCTCCCCGACCATGGGCTTAGACTAGCCTCAGGCCCATGAAAGACAGGTGTGCTGGCACATGCTCGAATCCTAGCACTCAGGAGGCAGAGCTGGGCGGATCTCTGTGACTTTGAGGCCAGCCTTGTCTGCATAGTGAGTTCAAGACCAGCCAGGGCTATAGGGAGACTTTGTCTCAAACAAACAAAAATAACAAAATTAAGGTGGCCAGATCCTGAGGAATGACATAAGGCTGACCGCTGGCCGAAAATGTACACACACACCAGTACATGCATGAACACATACACAAATGAAATTAAAAACATTAATAACAATAACCACCACGCACATCAGTCCCCTACGCAAATGTGGGACACGTGCCCAGTAGCTGAGGAACAGGACTTCGAATGTAATTCCAAAATCTCAGAGCAGGAGGAGGGAGGGGACGGCACTGTCAAAGCACAGAAACTGGGTCACATAAAAACAGAAATTTCCACACCACCCTTGAACATCAAAAACAACACTAAACAGGGCCAGGGACTGTGTGACCTTAATAAACAAGAAATGCACGCACAGAGCCCGTGAGGCTGTGTTCCATGCACTCTCCCTGGGGCGTTCCTGCCTGTCTAAGGCCCTGGGGATACAGACCCTCTGACAGGAGGAGAGGACATGGTCACAGGGCCCAGGGCCAGCACTATGAGCAAGGTAAGGCCACCAAACCACTGGCTAGATGTAGCCCACTGGTATGTGGGCCTCAGGCTAGGCCCCAGCACCTTACTATGACTCAGTTTTCCCACTGTTTTACAGGGTTAGGAGGACTCCCTATTCACAGTGGAGGAACAGGGAGGTCTGGGAGACTCCGTGCCTGGCTCAGGTTGCAGGAGGTTTGAGTCTGACAAATGGCTCCAGTTGAGGGTAAGGGGAGTCTCTGCTGACGAAGCATGGGGGGTGGGTTCCTTTCTGCAGGGAGAACCACAGGAGGCTGCCTGGAGGAGGCATCTAGTGAACCAGCCATGAAAGGATTTGGAGTCTGTGAAGAAGCAGTGTGTGGGCCCAGCCCAGCAACCTATAGATGCTAAATGGCAGGAGGGGCCCAGCCTGAGCCCTCTGTGGATCACGACCTACGCCTGAGGAGTCTGCAGTGTTCGCCCTGTGGGGAGTTTCAGAGGACCCACCGGCCCTGCCGAGCCTGTGTCCTTTTCCCTGCCAACCACCAGTCTGCCTGGCTTTTCAGTTAATCCCAGGAATGCTCAGATTTTAAAAGTCCTAGTCCAGCTGCCAGGAGTACACACACTTAAAAGATGCAAGAAGTCATTGACTTAGGATCTGAAGATGGGTGGCCTGGTGGCTGGCTGGGCAGTGGCTGAGCCTAGTCCAAACCTGGGGCGGTTTTGTGAGCACGCTGACTCACAGGAGACAGGCTGCCTCTCCTTTTCCAAGTGTCCACATTGTTCCAAGGTGAACGCCCTGTCCACACGCAACCTAGCAGCCAGTCATAAGGAGTCAGAGCCAACATGGTCCCTCTAGACATGGGTCACCTTGGTATGCTCAATCTCAAGGGCCATGGCCAATGGGCTGCAAGAAGTGCCAGGTAAAGAAGGGGAAGAGGAAGCCAGGGAAGGAGATGGAGACCAGAGAGAGGGAAGCCAGACAGAGAGATGGAGGCCAGGGAGAGAGAGGTGGAGGCCAGGGAGAGAGAGGTAGAGGCCAGGGAGAGGGAGGTGGAGGCCAGGGAGAGGGAGATGGAGGCCAGGGAGAGGGGGGTGGAGGCCAGGGAGAGAGAGGTAGAGGCCAGGGAGAGGGAGGTAGAGGCCAGGGAGAGGGAGGTGGAGGCCAGGGAGAGGGAGGTGGAGGCCATGGAGAGAGGGATGGAGGCCAGGGAGAGGGAGGTGGAGGCCAGGGAGAGAGAGAGATGGAGGCCAGGGAGAGAGAGGTGGAGGCCAGGAAAGGAGGGATGGGAGCCTGGGGGGGAGGGAGAGAGAGAGAGAGAGAGAGAGAGAGAGAGAGAGAGAGAACAGAGCGAGCGTGACAGAGGCAGGCCTCTGGCCTGTGCCCTCACCAGAGACTTAAAAAAGCAAGGCTTAAAAAGCCAAAAGTGAAACTCAGGACTGCACTATTTAATCCCAGCAAGGGGGGAGGTGGGGACAGAAGGATCAGGAGCTCAAGTGCATCCTCAGCCACATGATGAGTCACAGGCCTGCCCAGGCTATGAAAGACCCTGTTTCAAAATATAAATTAATGAATAAGCAAACAGAAGGGCAAAAGCTGCCTCTCCTGACTCAGAAACGCAGAGGGAGGAGACAGATTCGGAACCTAACCTGGCCGGGTGTGCACCTCCTAAGAGCGCGGCTATTTATACCTCAGGCCAAGTGCTGTACTCCCACCTTTGATTTTATTTTCTATCCTTTCTTTGTATGGCTCCATTTATTTATTTATTTCTACTCAGATTCTTTCAAAAAAAAAAAAAACAGATTTCCAGCAGCCCTTTGTTTCTTTTCCACAGTATCAGGCAAGGATCCCCTAAAGGTGAGGAGGGATCACAGGAATGTGTGGGCGGGGACCAAGACACACCTGCTGGAAAGACGGAGA